GGAACTCGAACTCTCTTTTTGGTTGGGGAGAACGGTGGCGTTTCCCTACTGCCCCATCGCCATCTTGGTCATCCTGGACATTATATTTTAAAAGATTTCTACTTCACATATTTATTAATTAATGAGTCAGTAATTCATTTTTAATATGAATGGAGTTAAATGTCTTAGCTATTAATAATGGTGTGAGCCCCTAAAAAAGAGATTAGGTGAAAATATAATTACCTCAGTATTTTTCTTCAAATAATGGAGGCTAATTAAATTTTAAATGTTCAAACATTTAAGCATCTATTGAAATACCAGTAGCTATAAACAATTCACAGTTCTGCAATACTAATTACAACAACCCTAAATCAACATAAAGCTAAGGTGAATTTCAAGTAACTTATGTTTTCATTATTTATCTATGTTCTAGCCCAAAGGAAATAAGCCACTTAACTAATGACCAGTGCCACAGCCTTGTTGGTACCTTTTAAAACCAGTAGCATGCTGTTGAACCACATTCTTGTAGGTGGATCGCAAGAAAGGCTGATCAGACAACCTAGGACACCTTGCTAATGTTACCTTAGTATTTGTGGGAATTTCAAATATTTGTAAAACAATATTTATTAGCTTTCTTTTCTAAGAGTAACATTTTTAGGCTTTACTTATCCATAGCAAAACTACATATCTCATCACAGAGATAAATGTTGTGAATAGTATAAAAAGTACCCTTCTACTTGCAACTGGAGTTACTGGTCTCATACTTGAATTCTACTTGTAATAACTAGAAAACAGGACTAGATAAAAAATAATAAGGAAAATAAAACCACTGGACTATTGACTTTGAACATGTGAAGGCTTTTAACTTGGAAGCAGTAGGCACAATCTGGAAAAGAAGGGAAAATGCAAGAACACAATGGATTTTGCTGAGAGAAAGAAACAGAGATTGGAGTTTGAGAAAACAAGTGCTTACAACTCTAAGAGAAGAGTCCTAGAGACACAAAAGCTCTGCAAAGAAAGTGTCTCCTAATTCTTCATTTTTTTTTGATTAGCAAGTGGCACATATACAGAGTAAACAAGGAAGACCAGTAATCAAGTGATATGAACTGAACACCTACCCACACTCATATTTGAGCTCTGACCAACAGATGTGGAGAATTCTCGTGGAACATCAGAGAATAGAGAACCCCAGAGGACTCTAGAAAAAGGAAGCAAGGCTGTATCTACTCTACCCCTCACCACTCCAATAAAAAGCATACTTCATTTCATTCAGACACTACTTCCCTCATACAGGTGAAAACCAGCTTTGATAGGATAAAACTGAAGTTTAAGGGTTTGACCTATCTGCAAAAGAAATCACAGGACTGGCACCCCTAGATCACTCCTGTAACCTCAGTTATTAAAGTAGCTAAGATTTGGAGAATCTTGGCTTGAAGCAAGAAAAGGCTGAGAAATTCTTGAGACTCCACATCCAAAGACCCACAAAAATCCCAGCTGAACATGTGTCTCAAGGGGTAACACCATGCTAAGTTCAAACTTATTACAGCAAATACAAAAATAACAACAACGCTCAGGAAAAAACTCAAAAACAATCATGACATACTTTTAAAATGTCATTTTCTTTTCACTTACAAGTTGCAGAAAAGGTTTTCAAATCTAGAAGTCAAGTAATCAATGCTTAACTGATCAATGTTCACTACTTCCATTATTCTCCCTCCTCTTTCTCCATGCCATCTCTAATGTGGAGTTACAGAGTTGAATTATTATATAATGATTTTATTTGCTCATCTTTTCTACCTGTATTCATGTAATTCCTTCTTTCTCTTCACATGTTTCAGCATCCTGGTGATCATTTGCTAAATGATTCATTAGGTCCTCAAAAGAGTTACACCATAAGACTCCTCCACTAAGTATAAACAATATATTTTTAAAACAAAAATACATTTCAGGCATTCTCAGGGTCTGCTATTCAATTAAAAAATTGACAATTCCTTAGGAAATAGGAAAATACATCAAAATCAAGAAGAAAAACAGTCAACAGAGGTCAAATCCAGAAATGACAAAAATTAAATTAGTAAGACAAAGGCTTGAAAGAAAGTCTGCTATATGTAAGGATTTCAAGGAAATTATGACCTTCAGTAAGGAACACAAGATAGAGTAAAAAAGCAACAAAAACAACATCAAAAATAACATAGAGCTTGAAAACTACAGTGCCATATTGGAAGAATTCATTTGATGGGCATAAAAATCCAGCAGACACTGCCTAACAACAGATACGTGTATTGAAGATACCTCAACTGAAGGAAAAAGTGTTCTGTAAACTAAAAGACCATATGAAGTACTTTCAACAAACAGAATTTCTATTCTATAGCGATGTTATACAAGAAAAAAATATACACAGAAATAAAAATCCAAATCCAAAAGGTGGACCCTCTTATCCCAGTAACTGACAACCTTCCAAGTAGCATATATACATTTTTGCTTTTTAAAGCAAGCTCTCATGGTATGTGTGCCTATGAGGTGGTGTGGGGTTAGAACTTAGCTTCTTACCCTCTGGCTCTAAGCACACACCCAGCAGCCAGCCTTTATATGTTGAACTGTCCCATAGAAAACCTGCTATGCAAAACATGAACACTAAAAACAAAAGGGAAAAAGAAATTTCAGATGAGTATGGCAGCAAAGGAAGAAAGTATAATACAATTGACAGATTGGAGAGAAGACTTTTTGGAAGTACATGAACTAGTTATCAGAGGTAATAAAGAGACTGGGATATTAATAACAGAAATATCTGATCACTGAAAATGTAAGCCTAATAACATACTACATTGTTAAGCCAAACAAAGGAAGTAGGAAGAATTCTGTGTGAAAGTTTGTTAAGATAAACAATCTAAAAATCCTACAAAAAGGGTGAGTGTGCTTGGGCAGGAGAGGGGCTTAAACTGGACTGGAAATTACCCACTAGGAAAAAGCTTCTGGATGTGTTTGGTTGACCCAAGTGGATGCTCTAGATATTTAATGGTACAAATGAAGACTTGTAAAGACAGGGTGCTGCCAAGCTGGCCTTGAACATTGGAACCCGGTGTGTCTGCCTCCTGTAGGCTGGACCCACAGGTGTGGACGACCAACACTGATCTCCCACCCTTAGGGTTATGGTGTGTTCCTCTCCAGGCTTGTTCCTTCCAGTATCATAGGAAGCGGGTTGGGCAGAGAGTTCCTCAATGTCCTTCATCACCTGATGTGGGTGGGAACTTCCCCAGTGGGATAAGTGTTTAGGGATTGGCTGATCATGTTTACATCAAGCCAACTGAAATCAGTGGCCATTTGGCTTCTCAAGGTATAAGTCTGTGTGCATGTGTGTATAAGATGTATACATATATACATATATTGTATGTATGCATATATGTAGGTATGGGCAAGTGTCTTTTCCCAGCCTTTCCTTCCCCGTTCCTGGGGTTGTGGGTGGGCTGGCTTTCTTGGGAACCACTTTATTTGCTTGCTGTGTTTCAGAGACAGGGTGCCACAGGGAAGACCAGGTTTTTCTTAAGCTTTAGAACCTGGTATCTCTGCCTCCTGTAGTCTGGTCCCACAGGGAGGGACCATGAATACTGCTCTTCCCTAGCCCCACCCTTAGGGTGTGTTCTCTGCAGGGATTCTTGCTTCCAGTAAGGTGGAAAGCCAGCAGTGCTGCTGGGAGAGAGTTCCCTCTGAGTGAGATTTGGACAGCCTACTTGACTTTGTTTCCTGTGTCCTGGTTGGATGCTCTGGAGCATTATGTGTGGGAGCTGGGAATGGCTCACCACCCCATCTACAGCATTCTAGGGAAAATAAAAGAGAACTTGAGGTTTGCAGGGCCAGTGCTGGTGCCTGTAGAACTTGTGCTTTGAGCACCTGTTGAGCTGGGCAGGGTGCCTCAAAACTACACATGCTATGTTGGAGCCTCTCCCTCTTGAAGTAAACTGTGGTGGCAAAATGTGTGATTATCAAGCCCCTAAGAGTAGTGCCAGTGGACACCTGTGCTGGCAGAGGTGGCTTTCTGCTTCCACTTCCCTCTGCCCCTCCCTGAAGTGCTTCCTAGGACATCAAGTGTTGGTTTCCCAGCAGCCTGGCTGTGAACATCTTGGCTCCAGTGTGCCTCTCCAGCTGCCTAACCAGTGGAGCCCAGGTTGAGGGCCACCACGTGTGTACCTTTGCTTTTCCAAGAATCATCTCTCCACTGTTAACCTTAAAATATCTTCACTCTTTTTTTCTTTAATTTTTAAGACTTCTCTTAAAATTTGTAATTGTTGTCACTATTGATTTGTAAAATTCTTTGTTTGGCTCTAGGCCTGGGGCTTGAATTCAGAGCCCGGTTGTCCTCGCTGAAGTTTCCTTCCTCAAGCATAGTGCTTTCCCATTTCAGCCAAAGCTCCACTTCCAGCAATGTTCTTTTCGAAGACAGGGGAGGAGGGGGTAAGGGGCTGAATTTGGGGAAGAATAGGTCAGAGGAGATGACGGGCTCCTGCACTTTCTAGCCCAATCTTGTTGGAACTATTCTTCAGGTGCCAATCTCCGGAGTAGCTAGGATTGCAAACTTGAGCCGGAGGTCCTCCAGCTTTTCCTGTGTTTTCAAACCATTTGATTACTTTCCCCTATCCTGAGGCCCACTGAGTGTAGTCTGTGTTTTCCTTTGGGTCTGACAAAGATACTTTTCTTTTTTTTTTTCCCTTTATGGTGAGGCTTGAACTGTGGGCTTGGGTGCTGTCCCTTTGCTCTTCAGCTCAAGGCCAGCGCTCTACCGCTTGAGCCACTTCCAGTTTCCTAGTGGTTTACTGGAGAAGAGTCTCACGGACTTTCCTGCACGGGCTGGCTTTGAACTGTGCTCCTCATATCTAAGCCTCCTGAGTAGCTAGGATTACAGGCGTGAGCCACCAGCGCCCGGCTTCAGACACTTTTATGTTTGTGTGTGTCTATAGTCTGTGCCCTATACAGATGTTTCCTGTGTTTTGTAACTTATCCATTTGTATATTGGTGTATAAAATTACCTTCATAGATTTGACCATGTTGGCCGCATTTCCCTATCCGCAGCCCGTCTGCACACTTGGTGCACTATTGGTGTGGGGGGCCCAGATAGATGGTGCAGCCCCACACAGCTGTTGCTCGTGTTTTGAAGAGAAACCCCCCTCCCTCCCCGACAGTAATAACACTTATTCATGCATGTATCATTATAGACCCTACCCCAGCGGGCTACCTGTCCTTCCGCGGAGGAAGGGTAGCCATGAGGTGTTAGGCTCGTCCCAGGGGTAGGGTCAGGTAACAGTGGCCAGCCACACTGTGAGCCAGGGGCCCCGGCCGAGGCGCAGGAACGCCGGAGGCGCTGTCCTTCGGACACCCCGCCGCCGGTGTTCCGGGCGCCTGGAGCTCAGCGCCAGGGGAACCTGCCCTTGCTGTGCTTGTAATCGCGAATGGTGGTGGCCATGAGCGGGGCAGCTCTCTTGCCTGCTGCGGCCTTTCTGGCCTTTGTGGTGTCGTCCGTGGGCATGAGGGTAGCCGGTGTGGTGCCGGAAGGGGCGCGGGCTGTAGTCTGGCCTTGGGGAGGAAACCTCCTGTGCCCGACACCGCCGCCGCCGCGGGCGCCCCTTCCTCCTCGTCTACCGCCTGCTCCCCGGGCGGGGGCCGGCCGGAGCTCGGCTCCTTGGACCGCGGC